CTCTATGGCTGGCCCTTGCCCTGATGCTGAAGCATGCTGCCTGCCTGTGTGGGGCAACCAGCAGTGCAGGCTGCAGGGACCTGGACCTGGGCTCCTGATGGGTAAGTATGCGGGGGGGGGGGGACGACACCATGGGCGGGCCCCCTGCTCATTTCCCCAACTCCCAGCTCATTTCCCCAGCTCCTGATAGCTTTCCACCTGGCCCCACCCTACCCCTATACAGCCCATACTCACTGGCTGCAGCAGCAGTGGTCAGGGCCACTTGGGACCTTGTGACACAGCCCCTCCCCCACGCAGCACAGGGCAGCAGAGTTCAGCCCTGCCTGCCTGGCACCTGCACTGCTGTATCGCACGAGTGCAGCCTAGCTCTGCAGGGTGCTGTCTGGCAGCTCAGAGATGCTCTGGCTGTCACCTGAGTCTGTCACTGCTCAGCCCAAGCTGCCCGACAGTGTGCAGTGCTGCAGAGCACCCTGCTGGCCAGGCCACACCCATGCAGCACCACGGTTACCAGGCAGCTGAGGCTGATCCCCACTGCCTCGTGCCGCAGGGGGGGGCTCTGCCATGAGGCCCCAGTGGCCAAGACAACCACTGCTAAAGCCAGCGAGTGTGGGGATGCTGGGGCCAGGAGGGGGAGCAATTTGGGGGCTGAACCAGATGGGGGGGATGATCGTAGGGGCTAGGGCTGGGTGAGGGGCTGTGGCCCTTTGTTGGGGGGGCTGTGGCCCTGTGGGGGTGGGGCAGCCCTTGAGCTGTGGAGCACCAGAACTCCTGCTAGTGAAGCAAGTGGCAGGACCTAGGCAGAGGAGCCTGCTCAGAGCCCACACCTGGGACCCAGATGGAGGTGGCTGATCTCCTGGCCACTTGGGGCCAGGAGGACATGCTTTGACAGTTCAAAGCAGGCCACCACACTGAGAATATCTTCTGGGCAATAGCTGCCTAGATGGCTGGGTGGTGGCACACCTGGCAATAGTGCCACATAAAGGCCAACTGCAGCCACAGCCCACTGGCAGCTAGCCCAGAGGTGCAGATGCCTCTAATGGCCATGTAGTCCCCATCGGGGTCTGGCAGGCATGCAGCCTTGGGGCCACATGCTGTCACAGGTCACAGCCAGGCAGCAGCCCCCACTGCCAGACTGCTGCAGTGGGTAGAGGGTGCAGGGAACTCTCAGGGCTGCTTCACCAGTCCAGCTGGCACAAGGGGTAGTGTCCCCAGGTACCAATTGGCCAGGCCCCAGAAGCTCCTGTGAGTAGCCCTGAGCTATTTGCCAAGGCAGGTTTTTATACTGCTGGGGCCAGCACAGGTGCTGGCCCCAGCCTCTAGCTCCCCCTGGCTGCAGATCTGAGAGAAGCCAGGCAGGGTTATTTTGCCCCAAGTGGCCCAATTTGCCCCACACCAAAGTGCATGTCTGGGCATGTGTGCTGAGGCAAAAAGCCCCAGCTCAAATTTGTACCGCTTCTATTTGAGCTGCTGCAAGCGCATGTGCCTACATATGTGGACATGCCCCTAGAGTTTGTCACTAACTTAGTGGCTATCTATGAAAAGGTCACTCACCTTGTGCCTCTGTCTCCTGCCTATTAAATTGAAAGAACTTTTTCTGTGTAAGAAAAATGTTACATTTCATCTAATTGCAAAGCACTTTTACAATATCATGTAGATATCTATATGATACAATTATCTTATCTTTCATTAAGAAGGAAGATGCAGTGACTAGTCTCACTTGTTATGTACATTTTATGGTATCTGGTACACTGAAACCAGATCTGATTTTTATAGGAAGGAATTACTGTCATTAGGTGAATGTGTATTAGTTACAGGGAAAAATATTACGTAAGTGCATATGTTGTAACTGTGAAGTGTGTTTGTGCCAGAAAAAAGATAAATGCCCATGTATAGCACTATGTCTAGAACAAGAACAACATACCAAGCAGTGACACCAGTCCTATAAGTTAACTCTAACTTCCCTCTTGATCAGGAAAATTAAATACATCAATTTGAAATCTATCCCTCCACCATTTTGGTCAAAGTCAAGAACTACAACAGGAAAACATGCTTCCTTGAGTCCAGTACAGGCACTATATCATACAATCTCCTTAGAATGTGATAAGTTTATGATCTTAAAAGTAGAGGCATGGGAGTAAAAAGCCTAACTGACTGGAAGACTGTTAGAATCATAAAAGTTAGGGTTGGAAGGGACCTCTGGAGGTCATCTAGTCCAACCCCTGCTCAAAGCAGGACCTGCCCTAACTAGATCATCCCAGCCAAAGCTGTCTAGCTGGGTATTGAAAACATCCAAGGATGGAGCTTCCACCACCTCTCTGGGTAACCTGTTCCAGTGTTAAAATTTCCTCACAGCCACCTCCCAGATGAGTCTCTGCTCGCACCCAGCCTCGATCTCACATCCTTTGTGCCCAGAACACAGTATGCAAACCTGCAAGCCAAACAAGACTGGTTTTAGCTCTAGAACCTCACAGCTTTATAGGAATATTTTTTTTAATTTCCAAACTAAATACTAAGTTAGTCTTACCTTGATCCTGGGGAAGCTTTTTGAGAGAATTATCCTGGTGCATGTCCGAGAGGGCCAGGGGGGAAGGTTATGCTTAGGGGCAACCAACACGGGTTCATTAGAGGCAGGCCCTGTCAGACCAACCTGGTGGCCTTCTACAACCAGGTCACAAAATCTTTAGATGCAGGGGTAGCAGTGGACATAGTCTTCCTGGACTTTCGGAAGGCTTTCGGCACTGTCTCTCACCCCGTTCTCATTAAAAAACTGGGGGACTGTGATGTCGACACCTAAGCAGTCAAATGGGTCGCCAACTGGCTGGAGGGCCGCACCCAGAGAGTGGCGGTGGATGGGTCATTTTCAACCTGGAGGGATGTGGGCAGTGGGGTCCCCCAGGGCTCGGTCCTCAGGCCCGCACTGTTCAACATCTTCATCAGTGACTTGGATGAGGGGGTAAAAAGCACCCTG